CTAGGTTTGAAAATGTATTCCTTCTAGCTGGTGACATTGCTGATGAGAAGACCAAAGTCCTCTTGGTTTGTTTTCCTTTGCATGTGACATTGGTTTCTGGAATTTTTGGTTTTATCCTTACATTTTATTTTTCCCTTCCCCACCCATCCCAGGCGTCCCTTATCCTTACATTTTGAAATACTATGATGTGCCTTAGAGTTAGGTCTGTTTTGTGATGCGTCATCTGTGGGCTTGGGGATTTCCTCAGTTGAGAGATTTGTATTCTTTGATAGTTTTCTCACCAGCGTTTTGCAGTTTCTGTGTCTTTGAAATGTCTGAGTGTGATGGTGAATCTACTAGATCTGATTTTATCTCTTCTCTCTTCCTTTCTTCTCTCTTTTCTCTTTAATCATATTCCATCTTTGGGGTGGCTTCTTTAACTTTTTCCAGCTCTTTCGTTGGCTTTTCCCCTCCAGATATTCTAGTGTTAAAATGTCAAGACCTTTCTCTGTTATACTTTTCCATACATAGGATTTTATTTTTCACTAACAGATTCTTGTGTTTCTGTTCTAATATATGTGTGTTCCTTTAAAACCTAATGTTTGGCAAAATTATGCACTAAAAATGGTAGGGCTTATGGGGGGAAAAGTAGAGTTTGGGCAGATCATTCAGGCCTATACAACCTAAAAATTTTTTTAATGTGTTTTTTGAAAATATTTACAATCTTACAGAAAAATTAGAAGTATAATTTAAGAACATTTGAGAATAATTTGCTGGTTTTTGTAGTCCCATTACCACCAAATACTTTCCCTACAAACAGGAATATTTGTCTATATAAGCAAAATTCAGCCATCTATACCAGGAAGTTAATGTCAATTCATTACTGCCATCTATTTAGCAGACCCTATTCAGTGTTTTCAGTAATCTTCACAGCAAAAAGATATAGTTCAAAATCAAATATAGTCAGCCCTCCATATCCATAGGTTCTGTGTCTATGGATTGAACCAACTGTGGATCAAAAATGTTTGGGGGAGAAAACATTGTTCAGAGTTCCAAAAAGCAAAACTTGAATTTGCCACATGCTGAGTACTGTGTTGAATCCACATGAATGAAGCTATGTGTAGGCATTGTATTAGGTGTTACAAGTACAGTTAGGCGCTGGATAATGATGTGACAGACCACATATACAGTGTTGGTTCCATAAAATAATACCATATTTTTATTGTACCTTTTCTATGTTTAAATACACAAATACTTACCATTGTGTTATAATTGTCTGTAGTATTCAGTACAGTAACATACTTGTATGGGTTTGTAGCCTAGGAGTAATAGGCTATACCATATATAACCTAGATGTATTGTAGGCTGTATCATCTAGATTTGTTGTAAACACACACTGATGTTCACACAATGATGAAATTTCTTAATGATGCATTTCTCAGAACATACACAACACATGAATGTAATCTGGAGATGATTTAAAGTACACAGGAAGGAGTGCATAGGTCATATTCAGATTCCACATATTTTTATATAAGGTACTTGAGCATCCCTGGATTTTGGTATTGGGAGGGTGGATCCTGGAATCATCCCCCACCCCCCATGGATACTGGGGAATAAGTGTATTGCATTCAGTTGATGTATCTCTTTAGCATCCTTCTGAAACAGTTCGTCATACTGTCTTTGACCTTCATGACCTTGATCTTAAAGATTGCAGACGTGTTAGTTACAGAATATCCTTCAGTCTAGATTTGTCTGTTTTATCATGATTAGATTCAGGTTATGCATCTGTGGCAGAAATACCATAGAAGCAATGTTCTGTTCTTCTCAATACATCTGATCAGATAGTATGTAATTTCAGTTTTTCCCATTACTGGTGATGATTACTGTGATCACTTGAGTTTTTTCCTTGCTTCTCCACTGTAGAATTACCCTTCTCTTGGAAAGGATTTTGGGCCAGTCGTAGTGGCTCATGTCTATAATCCCATCACTTAGCGAGGCTGAGGTGGGCGAATCACCTGAGGCCAGGAGTTCAAGACCAGCCTGGCCAACATGGCAAAACCCCATCTCTACTAAAAAAGACAAAAATTAGCTGGGTATTGTAGCATGCACCTGTAATCCCAGCTACTCAGGAGGCTGAGGCTGGAGAATCACTTGAACCTGGGAGGCAGAGGTTGCAGTGAGCCAAGATCATGTCAGTGCACTCCATCCAGCCTGAGCAGCAGCAAGATTCCATCTCAAAAATAAAGTATTTTGTGCAGAGGTACTTTGAAACTGTTTATACTGTTTCTCATTAGGCTTTTCATTTTTCATTCATTCATTTATATCTGTATGAAATTTTGGTCAAGGGGTTATAATCTGTTGCTATCATTTATCTGATGATAAAATGATCTCTAATTTGGCCAGTGGGAGTCCTTTCAGGCTGTTCTGTGTTACTTTCATATGTTTCCATTATTCTTTCAGCACATGTATCCTTTTTGAATTAAGATGCTGCAGGATAGGCAAGGTACAATGGCTCACACCTATAATCCTAACATTTTGGGAGGATGAGGCAGGAGGGTCCCTGGAGCTCAGGTATTTGTGACCAGCCTAGGCAGCATAGTCAGACCTCATCTCTATTAAAAATTTTAAAAATTAGCCAGGTGTGGTGATGCACACCTTTAGTCCCAGCTACTTGGGAGGCTGAGTTAGGAGGATCACTTAAGCGTGGGAGATGGAGACTGCATTGAGCTATATGATAATGCCACTGCACT